AAAAAAAAAAAAAAAAAAACTAGGAGAAATGCTGTTTTCTATCACTTTTTCAAGATGACTAACACAAGACACAACGTGTTACGCATTCCACACAGAATGCATTTGTTTTCCTCTAATGGCAGTGAACCACATTCATAAACTGCCCAGAAACACATCATATTGATCAAATCTATACGCCTTTTTCTTTTTGGCATTTACAGAAACTTATACGACCCAACATATTGTATTTCATCGATTAATGGAGCAAAACGTACAATTTTTCTATTTTTTCGTGTTATATGAAGTTCTAACTTCAGATTTTAGCTCATCTAGCTTCTATCTTTTTTTCTTTTTTTTTTTTTTTTTTTTTTTTTTTTTTCAAAATTCTAGGAGCATTTTTTATTTATATATTTTATTTAAGAATCATGCATTTGTGTTCTTTCTCTAAGCACCAAGGAAGCAGTATATGCCCACACAACTGATTAATTTCCTCAAATGTAGTGTGGTGTTGAACTTACCTTTTACCTTTCTGTTATTATGCTTCTAAAAGTGCTTTTCTATGCCAAAACTCAAATTAACAAAGAATAAGTGATGTAACTCAAGTCACCATAAAAACTTGACAACCTCCTAAATCACAGGTACATGGAGATAAAATTAATCGTGACTTATAATAAAAGTGTAATAAACGGGGATAAAACGGGTGCAGTCTCACGCAGATGAAGTGCACCATAACAAGGGAAAGCCCAGATGAAGCCAAGTGAGGTTCATCCCAAAACCAATTAGTGAAAGTAGGAATAACCCATTCGACTTATAAATTAGGACTATTTTCTCTATATAGACGATGTGAGACAACTCACAAGTGAATATTCTAATAGAGAGATTTTACCTGCTGAACATAATTTAAATATTGCAGAAGTTAATAGTGTTGGTTAATAAAGTTTAAAAGCTAAAAGAACTGTAATTGAATTACAACAACAACAACAACATACCCAATATATTCCCAAACGGGTTGGGGTCTGGGGGGTCAGTTGTACGCAGACCTTACCCTTGTAATTATACAAATTATACAAGGAGGTTGTTTCCATAGCGACCCAATCGAATTGTTGGGGAAAAAAAATTCTCTAAAAATAAGCTTTTAAATGAAAATTAAAAGCTACCAAATGACTTGTATTCACATACTGATATGAAATTTTCAACAATTAAAACTAAATTTACGTACAAATTAAGTAGGCAACAGAGCCTAAGAGGAATACAATTCCTTGTCGCTCACAATCTCACCATCTCCCAACCATTTAAAATCAACTTTTTTCCACCATTTTATATTCACTTTTATTTATTTTTTTATTTTTTTTGGTTCCTTTTGGTTTTCAATTCATAACCTTACCACTACCAAGTGCAAGTGCAAACTGTTTACTCACCCACCACCTTTGCATGCAAAGATTCCATAAAATTGGTCACTTCACATTTAAAATTACAATGTCCTTTAACTTTTAAGCCTAAAATAGATTTTGGTCCTTTTTGACCAAACTAGTGTGGGAACCTTTTATTGTTTCAAGCTCCCCAGTTTTTTTAATTTGAAAAAAA